AGGCGTCTTTTCTGCTGTGAAGCCAGCTTTGAAGACACCATCTGGGGAAGTAGCCAAGAAGTCGTTGGGTGAACTTCTCTGCTTTGCAAAGCTATTAACACCAGTACAGAGAAGAGGGAAAACAAAACTCTCTTCATAGATTTTTGAATTAATGTTTTTTGTTGCTGCCAGGCATGCTCCTGCCCCTCCTTATTCCAGTCCCAAGGACAGCAACTGTTGGACTCCTGAAGGATGAGAGAGACAGAGAGGCTTTTCTGTGCAATAACTATATGGCACAGAAGTGCTGTGATCCATTAGTCAGCACAGCTGCTCCATGAAATAGCCAATACCCTGAGTGTAACAGAACAAATTGCACATAACCAAAAAATACCTACAGCATACATCAAACCAGAGTGACTCAAACGTCCCTTGCAGCGCTTTGGGGTGCTAATAGCCCCACAACAAATGCCTCATCCAGTGCAAAGGCCTTGAAAGCCCATCTTGGGACAGGTCGGGATTTTTGTATTTCGTTAGTGCCTCTTCCACATTAAGTGGGATGAAAAAGTTGTGTGGTCACGTTGCTGAGGCCCACTGTGTGCCAACAGGTATTCTGGTGTTGAGAGCTGCCTGCACACAACAGGAATCTTGGAACTACGGAGATTAATTTCTACTTTGTCACTGACACTCCAAATGCTCTGAGTCATTTATCATGGGGATCTGCTTTCTGATTTCTTCATAGCTACACAGTGCCCATATGTGCAAGCGCCGTGGTGTGACTGCTTAAAGGGATGTTAGAACAAAGGTAAGGCACATGCTGGAGGAAACTTGCAGGGTTTACCCTGTGAGACTAAAGGCTGGTTAAATAAATATGTCTTAACACAGTTGAGGCTTGGCAAACAGCATCTCTGGCAAACACTGAGGGAGGAAGTTCTTCAGGGTCTGGCCTTTCAAGAGGGAGATTCCTGCCCTGGCTGAGAGCCTCGAGCAGGGCCGAGAGCGGAGGCGCAGAGCTGGCCAGCGACCGGGGGAGGTGGAGAGAGAGGATGCTGTGGACTTGCCAGGCAGCCCCAAACCTCTGCACGGGGATGCAGACTGACAAAGAAGGAACAGGAGAAAGACAAGAGAGCAAGACAGCAGTGCGTTAGAAAATCTTGCTGAGACTTGCTTGCCCCAGTGCTGGGTACCAAGGCCTCAGCTCTCTGTTAGAGGACGAGGACTGTCTTGGGCATTGACTGGTGTCTCTTCTCAGCAGGGATGAGATCTGTGGAGCAAACCTACTTGCAGAGCTCAGCCTTTTCTCCTCACTTAACTGGAACCAGAACTGGAAAGCTACTGACTTCCCCACAGGGGCTGCAAAGCGGCAGACTGTCAGCTGAGCAGCCAGTCGATTTTGACTGCTGTTAGTTCCTGAGCAGGGTCTCATGGTCATGGAAGAGCATGAGTTAGTGGCTCAAGGTCCCATTTGCCAGGAGAGGCATGGAAGAAAACAAATGTTGCATTCTCTCCAGCTGGACTTGCTGTCAGAACTGAACAGGTTGCCATTCCTTTTTGTGCTGCTGAGGAATTTGCCTTTGTTTGGACACTGCATTTATATGTAGAGGCACTGGGCCGGAGCTCATCAAGGCTGGAACTTAGTGTGTACCTGCATACATTGGCAGTGGTTTTAAAAATAACCTGCCCTCCCTGTGTGAGGAGGGCACTGTCCCCTCTCGTGAGAGTGAGTGTGCAGTGCACTCTGCAAGGCTGCTTGTCTCCTGAACTGTTGTTCTGCTAAGTCTACAGCAGAGGCCAACTAATGCCAGCTGTGGGGCAGTTATTTTGTGAGGAGCAACTAAACTTTTTCAGGCTGAGCCTGAACTCAGTTAATTGGGAGTATGCAGTCATGTGGGAACAGCTTGTGACTGCAGGCTGCCTGGTCTTGTTGTATATGCAACTTGTGTGGTGCATCTGCAGTGATAAGGTGTGGAGGAGAGGTAAAGCTTCTTCCCTTTCCTGGCTCCTTCTGATCAAGGTAAGTGTTGCAGCAACCTGGTAGCATCTTGCAGGGAGGATTCCATGTTGGAAGAAAATGAAGGGGTGCCAAATCTGTACTGGCATGGTTGCAGTGCTAGGTGGAATTAAAATGCTGATGTAAATGGTTAACTGAGCAAAGAGTGGGGTTAGTCTTAGAGATGTGCTGTCCTTCCATGCTATTGCACAGCGTGTGAGGCACAGAACTGATTGCTATTCAGTAGTTAGCCATAGGTTTATATGCTAATGGCCTAGGCACAATTCTGTGTATTCTAACATGCATAGACTTACATGATGGGCTAACAGACCACAGGACCTACAGAGCTTCCACTGTATGGTGTGCAGTGGCTGTGTGACACTCTGCAGGAGTGACGCAAGACCTCCAGTGCTTTTTGCTGTTGATGGGGTGTGCACCACATGGCATGTGCTGCAGGGGATCCAGAGGAGCATGGATTCATAGCTGGACAGAGACTGACTGTGGTCTCACTTTCATGGGAAGTTAAACCTTAGCAACGTTAGAGGGTTCAGGATGGTACTGATCTCCACTGGCTTGGCAGATGCTGCCAGATCTGGATTAACATCTGAGCAAGAGCAGCTGGGAAAGTCATCCCTCTGTGCATGCTGTTGTGTACTGGGAGTGCTTCAGTTCCAAAAAAAACCCAACCCTCATGAGCACTCCGAGCCTCTGATGAGAGAGGTGACCTTTATTATTTGCTTCATTCCTGAAGGACAGGCTGCTCTTAGGTGTAGTTGTCTCAGGCCTCTGGTGGGAGCAGTGTGGGCCGATTGGCACTGTCATTACCTGCATCCTTTGTTCACAGAAGCTTCCCTTGGCAAGAGCTGTGCTACAGGAAATTGGTGTCTAGCCTGCCTGGCAGCCCATCACTTCTGGGTCCAGTGCTCACTGTGCAAAAGATTTTGAGGAAGTTTAGTCGTCCAGAGTGAGATGGAACCTGATGTTTTGGCAGAAGGAGTGTTTGTGAGCCTCCAGCTTGATGCGTCCCTGGTATGTGGGTAGGGTAGGCTGGAAGGGATTGATTGAGGTTAAGAGCTGTCTGTTTGCATTTTCTCCTGAAATAAGTAAGATTATCATATAATCATAGAATGGTTTGGGTTGGAAGAGACCTTAAAGATCATCTAGTTCCAAACCCCCTGCCATGGGCAGAGACACTTTCCACTAGATCAGGTTGAAATATGTAGTTATGATTTTGAACATGAAATTGTGTAACTATGATATTCTTAAAATTGCTTTAAAAGAAAGGTTTTGCTGTCTTCCATAAGGGTTAACCACAGAGTGGCCGCAGCAGTGTTTTTTCACAAAATGTAGCATTCCTGGACACTTCACTGAAGTGTTACAGTGTGAGTACAGCAAATTACTTCATTGCAAAATTGATCTCCAGTTGTTACTGCTTCAGTCATTACAATTTCTGTGAGTGCTATTGGAGTTTTTAAAATGTATTGCTCTGTGCATAACTTTTGAGTCACTAATGATGAGAAAAATTACCTGGGAAATTAGAGTCAGTGAAGTAATATTGATGGTTCATTTGTCAGATTTCTGGATAACCTTTGTCTAAATAATTTGGCAAACAATTTTCTCTTTATTCTCGAGTCCTTTGAAGCTTTTCCAGTTCATTGTTGTCAGAGATGGGGCTGTCTTTGGAGATGCAAGGACAGCATATTCAGTCTGCATTGACCAAGTATCAGTCAATATCAGCCTGCTATGCAGTAGTAGCTCAAATTACATCCTCACCTTCTGTCAGACAGTGCCAAGTGTGCCAGCATCATTATTTTGTGATGTTCTCCTTTCTGATTCATATTCAAGAAAGCACAGCTTTTGCCCTCAGAAAGGCAAATATCTGGAGAATAGAACTGAGCTCAAATCCAGCCCTACAGTCTCCCACCTGGGTGGTGAGACTGTATGCAGTGAACTGTTCAGTTGTTTTTCTGTAGCTGGCTTTAACTGGGTCCTCTAAACATGGGGCAGTACTGTCTGCTCTGAAAAATGAGTTTTCACCTATCCAGAGCATGGGAAGAAAGTAGTGTGCTGGTGGGCTCACTGCCTGCAAGTCAGCTGTGTGTGTAGCAGCAGTTCATTGGCAGAACAATGCCATAGCTGGTGCAAGAGAGCTGATTACTTGGGTTTTGAAGTAGGGCCCAGCACTGATATTCCAGATCCTCAGAGGGAGAGGTGCATAGTTGGTGTCAGTTGTGTTCTCAGCCACTGCTGATGGCATTGTTAGCTTGATTTCTTTGACTTTATAGAATTGATTAGATAAAAATAGGAAGAGGCCACAGCAGGCTCTGCAATCTCCATCCTATAAAGGTTGAAAGCCTCCTATTTTTTTCTGCTCCTCAAAAGTCCACAGCTCATACACAGATACCTGCAGGATCTGAGGATGTATCACTCAGAAAACAGGAGTTTGCTGTGGGGACAAAGCAGCTGTGATTCGCTTTGAATTTTAGGAGGGCTTGGGTCGTAATAGGATAAAGGCTGTCAGACATGTCAGGAGTTAGGACAGTCTCAGAGTCCCTCTCTTTCTTCCTCTCTCCTCTCTAGTGCTCACTCTTATGCTGATCCTGTTCCAGGATGAGTGAGTGGTGTATGCATGTTTGATGGCAGCTAATCAAAGTGCTTCTGTGTCCTGCTGAGGCAGAACTTAGTGTGGAGCTACACTTACTCCTGTGACCTAGCTGCTCCAAGGCTTTCCTGGAACCATGGCCATCTCCTGCTGTAGGCCATTGGATTTATAAACCCTTAATCATTTGCCACTAACCATATATTCTTGTTCACAGAATCAGTCTTGCCTTTGGTACCATGACCTGCTGTCTTGCTTATACAGTCCTCTCCCCTTGGGTATCTTGCACTTTAAATCAGGTGAAACCTGATGATTTTTCTGTGGGATTTTCACCGTGCCAACGCTTCTCTTTCAATTTCTGAGGGAAACATTCCCGTGTCAACAGCTACATAACTAGCTTGCTGCCTTTTTTCTTTTGTCTCCTTTTTCCTCCAGGAGCTGTTAGTTAATTCTGGATAAACATCAGCCGCCATGGAGCAGAGGACAGGGACCACAGATGCCCTTGGAAGCCCCAGCATCCTTCTGGATAGACACTGACCAAAACCAGTGCCTTCTGCCCTTCACGGTCCAAGACGACATGGTTCCTCTTCCAGTTGCCTGCATGTATCAGTCTCAGTGGACGTTCCTGGGGTTGGGAGAAGGGTCCCAGGAGAGGGGGACGCTATCGTTTCTCTCTGTTGTTCTGCAATGTAAAGAATCTTGTTGACCCCGAGTGCTTCCAGCACAGCTTGTAGCTTGGGACATGAGACTGGTTCACCCTGTGCTAGCTTCAGTTTCACCAACCTGCATCTGAGTTTCAAGAGCTGTTACCTCTGTCCATTTGCTCTGGAGAAAGGGGTCCAAAGTATCTGAAAGTAACTTGTTAGGATTAGCTGTTCCTAGCACGTTCCCATCAGTTACACCAGCAGGCGCATTCCTTCCCTTCCAAGGTTCCCTCCTAAACAATAAAGTGTTTAATGATCACTGTGTGCTGTGAGATACTTTCAGTCCCATGAGTTTGTAAATTGCTGGTTTGTGCCTACTGCCATGCCAACAAAAACTCTAAATAAGTGTGAGGAATAGAAATATTCTAAGTCACAGTTTATAAATCACAAAACTTGTTCATTTTGGTCCTGGGCTGAATGACTTTGGCTTATTTGAAAGTGCTTGGAAGAGTGAGAAGTCCTGGCTGAAGGGAACTGGTTGGGGAGTCATACTGACAAAGCCTTTGCCTGCCCAAGTTACCTTTCTTTTCACCAGCTCTTGTGTGCAGTTCCTGCTTTGTCTGCCATAAACCACCATCCCCTTCAGCCTTGTGCTCTGTATTGAGTCCTCTCCTTGCCGAGTGAGGGATGGAGGAAGCTGAGTGCATCTGGCATCTCATTCTCCTAGAGGTAGGTGTGGTGGATTTGCAAAAGACCTGTCAGCAAACCAGGGGAGCAGGTCTAGCTTAGTAACTTGATTCCCCTTCACTGCATAAAGCTTCTCCTCTGGCAACATTAGCTGCCTCTGTCCTCTCTGAGTGTATCTGACAGTTTCTGAAGAATGTGAACATGGATTTTTGGAGGTCATGTCAGAGTTTAATGTACTGTTCATGAAAATGGATGAAGGGGGCTGAGAATTGTTTTCTGTGTTATATTCTGCTTCGTCTCTTTTTTCTTTAGACAGCAACTTAGTGCTTTACATCTTCATTAAAGCAACAAAATGCCTTTCCTCGTGGAGTGCTGATGCTACAAACCTCTTCCTCCCCAGAAGTGATGTTTGCTTACCCATGGCTCACCTCTGTTACTCTCTGGTCTTGCAAAACTTCCAGCTTTGCATCACTGTGCAGGTCAAACTTGACATCCAAAAGGGAGTAAGGCAAGTTTTCCAAACCAGAGAAGGACACAGTGCCCTCAATTCTGTTTGTAGCAGTACTGGGTGGGCTTTGCTGCTCCTGCCAATGCTGTCTTTTGGATCTGCTTGGGATAGCTGGGTTCTACAAAACCACAGACCTTCTGACTCTGCATGCAGAGATTAGAATATCTATCCTAAGGTCTATCCCTGACTAGGTTTGAAATTATTGTTGGTCTGAAGAGAAAAGTACCTATTTTGTCTCTTCCTCATTTTCCTCTTGCCCCTATCCAGTGTTGCCTTGGCATGAGTAATTTGCCTGTCATTATTTCAGCTGCCCTAAATTGGGGGGGATTATGATGCCAGGGCTGATTATTTGGCGGCACTGGGCAATTTTCTCTGTTAGGCAACTGTAATACGTTTTCATGTTCTTTTATAATGAGCTTTATTTACCAAATTGGCAATTCCTCTGTTGAGAAATAACTGATTACAGCATTCAGGGAGTTGCTGTCATCTCAAGATATGCAGGTGTCTGTGGAACATAAACAGATGTGATCATTCAGACAGTGAACTCAATAGAGAGTAGGGGGGGAAAAATCAGCCATAAAATCATAAATGTAACAGCTACAGCTAATGTTGGCCAGGTGCACTGCGGCTGTTTGCAGCCCAACAAGGACAGAGTGGCACTCTAAGGCCATCCAGTACCTCCAGATGAGGGACTGCTTGATTATTAGCTGAAAATACACCTCTTGCCTGTCACTGCTCTTCAATACTGGCCTGCCTAACTTTCAGTCTCTGGTAGTCTCTGGGGACAGACATGAGTTCCTTGTGCAGCCTTGAAGTGAGAAACTCCTCTGCCCTGCCATGTTGGGTTCAATTTTAGTTTCCTCTGTGCTGAATGTCTACAAACTTCTTGGTGATCATGTCCATGGGGACTGTGGTCCCAACTGCCTCTCAGGCAGTCCCTTACCTTTGGTGTTTTCTAGTGCCCAGGAGCAGTTTTGTTGCTGCTGTTGCCCTAATCACCAGCTCAGACACCTGAGCCTGGGGGAGAATACGATGAGCAGAGATGTCGATAGGAAACTGCTGAAGATGAAGTTCAGTTTGCAGAGTCTCAGCTGCTATCCAAGTAAAAACTGTGCAGGTAACATAGCTTCTTGAGTCAGTGTTTTCTCTTCCCCCTCATCTTTGCTGCTCCTGTTGCACTGAGGCCCTTGCAAAGAAGGAAGAAGCCCTACATCTCCTCCTAAGCTCCCTCTCCTTATGATTCTCCTTGACTGCTTGTTGGATATTTGGAACAATTTTTTTTCCATGCAAGATTGTGACAGCAGGTGTCAGTTATGCTTCAAAGTGGCAGAGATCATTATTCCTGGAGCCTGGTGTTGAATAGATGTCCTTACCACACTGCTGCAGTCACAGTTGGCATTAATGGGCAACTAGGACAGCAGAATAAACAAAGTCTGAGTCCATTGTGGGAGCTGAATTAGAGACAGCTTCCTCCAAAGTCAAGTTTGAAGTGGGGTAGAGGAAGCCAGCCACACTGCTGTCTGTGCTGGATGGAAAGGAGCTCTTTAGTGTCCCAGGAATATCCGTGATCTGTTTCACTTATTAAAACTGAACCTGCCCAACACCAGGTGCTGTTTGGGTGCAGAGTTCCATTCAGCTGAGCAGTGCATGTGCATTTTGCCTGCCCAGTTACTGCAGTTGTGTCTGCAAATTGGGTAATTTTGTGTACAAATGCATCCGGTGATTCGGATGCAATGTGCACAATTGTGGTAATTTCATGTGGAAATACAGCTTGTAGAGTGCCTGCTTTAAGAGCATGAATTGTTTTAAAACTTGCCAGATGAATGGAAAGAACAACCTTTTTATTCATGCATAATTTCTTAGTGTTGCAGGAAGGAAAAAACCCCCCAAAAACAGTGAAGTTAGAGAAGATACATGAAATAACAGAACTGCTAGAAATTTTCCAGTAGGCCTCAATAGCTTTTTTAGTGAAACATTCAACAAGCAGCACTTAGAGATTCCAGTATGCAGGAACATCACCGGCACTCTAAGCACCAAATTTGTGATCTTGCATAAAAACACAACCCATTGCCTCCTGTTGCTAATATTTCACACTTGACTTTGCAAGATGCTTTATCTAATATCCTCTCTGCATTCAGGCTTCTACCTGCTCTGCCTTGTCCATAACAGGAGAGGCAGGAGGAGGAAGGCAATTGCCAAGTGTGTCTGTAATCTATGTAGGAGGGTTTTGTGTAGCTGTAGGGGGAGAAGAGTAAGTCTCATTTCCTATTTTATAGTCTGCTGAATCCTGTGATCTCATGCTGTGTGCTCCTTTTCCAAGCAGAATTTTTCAATTTGTCTTTTAAGTTGTTGTTATTTTTTATTTCCAAACTGGTTAAAAGTGTTTGTCTGTAACTTGTCGATAAATTGTTTATGCCTGACTCCCTAAAACGCTTCATTGCCAGTCTTGTACGTGTCTCAGGACCACCTTTTTCTTCTCTTGCCTTGTGCCCCCCCAGGGGCCTGTTGCATCCAGCACTGTAAGGGTTATCAGCCCTTTTTTGGAAACCCATGGGAGCCTGAAGGGCAGTTGAGAGTCCTGCAAGGTGTAACCCCATACCTGCTCCCATGCACTTTGTTTTTTATCCCTGGAGAAGATGTATGTGTTATTCCTGAACTGATTCACCTGCCTTCCTTATCTGTCAGCCCTGTCACTCTGCTCTTGGTGTGTGCTGGATTCTCCTCACTTCCACAGTTCTCCTGGGCTGATGCCTTGGAAGAGAAGGGTGATGTGGACTGAAGTGATTAGCCTGGA